TGAAGGGAAATATATGTAATCCCAGATGAAAATGTAGAGTGTGTTGCTGGCACATGATTTTTTTTTTCTTTTTTGGATATGCATTTTTTTTTTTTTTTTGCAGGGGGTGGGCACTGGAGATTGAACCCAGAGATTTGCTTAGTTAGTGAGACTGACCGTCATGGAACTTAAGATTTTCCTGCCTCAGCCTCCAAAGAAGCTGGGGTTATGGCATGTGCCATTGTGCCTGGCACAATATTTGAAGACGTTCTGCAACCTAAATTCCTTCAACAAGTGGGTCAAATTCATAGAAAAAAATAAACTATAAAAGACTCTATAGTTCATTTCCCAAATTATTTCTTAATAATTTAGAAAAATATTATTAACAGAATAAATAAGTACTACTTTGATAACTTATAACATATGTATGTAATATATAAATAACAATAAGATCACAAAGAAGGAGGAAGGAAGTGAAGCATTATTGCTAAGTTTCTATATTTTTCAGGAATTAAGTTAGTATTGATGTGAATCAGATTGAGACAGAATAGGGTGCATTTTGTAATCACCAGATCAAGTACTAAGACATCAAAAAATACAGCTAGGAAACTAAGAAGACTAAAGTTCTATCCTGGAATATGTTTATTTAACAAAAAAGAAGGCAGTTAAGGGAGGAAAAAGACCTAGAAACTACAGAAGAAATATAGAACTCAAATAAAAAAGTGGTAAATGTAAACACAATTATATCAGTGCCTGCATTGAATACTGTAGTCTCCATATCCTTATCACAATAGAGATTGTCAAATAGACTTAGAAAAGATAAAGCAAAAATAAATTGACATAAAAAGGTTAACAATAGATGAAAATCAAACAAAAAAGATGTTCTTTAAGAGTTAAAAAATCCACTATTGTCATGTATGTAAAAAAAAAAAAAAGAGTTTAAAAAGGTGGTCAACTGTAACTAAATTGACCAAAGAAAAAAAATTTTAAAAGCCAGGTGCAGTGGCACATGCCCACATAATCCCAGCAGCTTGGTACAGTGAGGCAGGAGGATCACCAGTCCAAAGCCAGCCTCAGCAATTCAGTGAGGCCATAGGCAACTTAGTGAGACCCTGACTCATAATTCAAGGATGCTTCATCAAACAAATTTTAAATGTGATGCACCATATTAACAGAATGAAATACAAGAACCTTGTGATGGGTTCAATAGATGCAGAAAAACCCTGTCATGAAGTTCTGTATGATAAAAACTCTCAACAAATTAATTACACAACAATACATATCAACACAATAAAGGCCATACATGACAAACTCAGAATTAATATTATATTCAACAGAAAAACCTTTCTTCCAAGATGAGGAAAAAGACAAGAAAGCCCATTCTCACCACTTTTATTCAACATAGTAAGAAAATTTTAGCCCAAGCATTTAGGCAAGTGAAAGAAGAAACAGATATCCAACATGGAATTTAAATTTTCCCTGTTTGCAGAAAACACGATTTTATCCAATGAAAGCCCCAAGAATTTCACAAACACACACACACACACACACACACACTTCTTAAAATAAATAAACTAATTCAGTAAAGTTCTAGATTGTAAAATCAATATACAAAAGTCAATTGATTTTCTATACTAACAAACTATCCAAAAGAAATTAAGAAACCCCCATTCATAATAGCTATAATAAAATACTAAAATTTAACAAGGAAGTGAGAGATCTATACACTGAAACCTATAAGCAGTTGTTAAGAAAATTGAAGACACACACACACACACACACAAAATGGAAAGATATCTGTACTCATGGGTTGAAAGAAATGATATAGAGAAATACTGTAAAACTTTAAATTCAGCAAAAAGAGCAAAGATGGAGGCATCACACTGAGTTTAAAATCTATAACAAAGCTATGCTAATCAAGACACAAAACAATGGCAGTGAAAACAGATACACTTGTCAATGGAACACAATAGGGAGCTCAGATGTAGGGGGAGAATGTATTTATGGTCAGTTGATTTTGAATACACTGTGTACTAAGAGTACACAGAAGGTCCAGGCTCAGTGGCTTTGCCCATTATACCAGTGACTTGGAAGGCTGATCAGATGTACAAGCCAGCCTGGACAACTTAGCAAAATCCTGTCTCAAAAAAAAAAAAAAATTAAATAAAAAGGGCTAGGGATGTACCTAAGTGCTAGAGTGCCTCTTGGGTCAACCCATAATGCTGGGGGTAGGATTGATAGGTAGAAGAGAAAGGACTGTCTCTTGAATGAATTGCATTGGAACAACAGGGTAGCCACATAAAGAAGAATAGAATTTGAGAATGTATCACACCATATAGAAAAATCACTTCAAAGTGGCTAAAAAATTTTAACATACCACATGGAACTGTAAAACTACTTGAAGAAAACACAGTGCAAAACTCTATGACATTGGTCTGAGTAATGACTTTTTGACTTAATCCCAAATCCTGGCATCAAAAACAAAATGAGACAAATAGGATTACATCAAACTAAAAAGCTTCTGCACAGAAAAGGAAATAACTACATATTGGGAGAAACATCTTCAAACCATATACTAGATAAGGGATTAATATCCAAAATATATACAGAACACATATATACATATAACTGAATAGTAGAAAAACAAATGTCCAATTTAAACACCGGCAAAGGACTTGAACAGACACTTCTCAAAAGAAGACAAACAAACTGCAAGTATATAAAAAAATGCTCAAAATCACTAATCATCAAGGAAACACAACTTAAAACTACACTGAGAGATCCCACTTCACACTTGGTAAGAAGACTATTATCACAAAGAAAAAGCAAGCATTGGCAAGGACACGGAGAAAAGGAAACCTTGGCATAATGTTGGGGGGAATGTAAATGAGCACAGCTATGATGACAGATAATATGGAGGCTCCTCAAAAATTTAAAAATGATTTAGTCATCCAACAACTGGGACTATATTCCAAGGATATGAATAAGTATGTCCCTGAGATATCTCTCATGTTTACTAAAGTACTATTCACAATAGCCAAGATTTGGAATTGACCTAAGCACCCATCAAAGGATGAAAGGATAAAGACAATGGATAAACACAACACAACACACACACACACACACACACACACAATGGAGTACTATTTATACTATTTGGCCCTAAAAAAGAAAGAAATCTTGACATTTGCAGCAACATGGATGAACCTGGAGGAGTTTATATTAAATGAAACAAATCAGGCACACACACACAAAACGAATGCTGTCTGAAATCACTTAAATATGAGGAATAGTCAAAAATTGATCTCATACAAGTGGATAATTAGAATGAGAATAGTCAAGGGCTGAAGGACAGGAAGAACTGGATGCATATTGGTCAAAAGATATAAGTATGTGATAAATATACACATTTTGTGCCAATTAAAATAATATGCAACCAACCTAGATGCCCTTCAGTAGATGAATGGATAAAAAATGTGGCATATATACACAATGGTATATTTCTCAGCAATAAAAGAGAAAAAAATCATGACATTTGCAGGTAAACAGATGGAGCTGGAGAAGATAATGCTAAGTGAAGTTAGCCAATCCCCCCCCAAAACAAATGCTGAATGTTTTCTCTGATATGAGGAAACTTAATGATAGTTGGGTAGGGAGAGGGAGCATGAGAGAAATAGATGAACTCTACATAGGGGAGAGGGGTGGGAGGGGAAGGGAGTGGGCAGGGGATTAGCAATGATGGTGGAATGTGATGGACATCATTATCCAAAGTACATGTATGAAGACACAAATTGGTGTGAATATTCTTTATATACAACCAAAGATATGAAAATTTGTGCTATATGTGGGTAATATAAATTGTAATGCATTCCACTGTCATTTATTTAAAAAAAAATCAATAAAAAATATGTGGATATTAATTCACAATGAGTAGGGGGAACTAGAGAAGAATAGAGTTACCTTAAATTAGGTAGAGGGAAGTGAGAGAGAGTGGAGGGGAGGATAAGTGGGGAGAGGAAAGACAGTAGAACAAAACAGACATTATTACTTTATTTATATATTCTGTCTATGCATGATACATCAAAGTGCATAAATGCATTCTACTGTCATGTATAACTAATTAAAACAAATAAAAAAATAAAAATTAAAAGCCATAAAGTCAACATAGACATTAAAAGGATTAAAAAGAATTCTTATGATTAATTAGGACTACATATTTGAGAATCAGATAAAATTAACAAATTTCTAGAGGACACAAATGACCAAAAACAGACTCAGGAAGTATAAATCTAAAAGTCAGACACCAATAACAAAGTTAAAAATTTATATCCCTCCAAAAAGGACAGAATGGACTGATATGGCTTCATGGGTGAATTTTACTGAATATTTAATGAAGAAATAATATTAGTCCTTCCTATTTTTTTCCAGGAAATAAAGAAAGGGGAAAGTCTCAACTCATTCTATGAGGGAAATGATAAAAACATCTCTTGTAACTGGAAGCCCTTTGTTTGTCAGCAACAAAGCTAAGAAAAAGATGCTTTAAAAAAGCCTTCAATACTGAATTGCAGAAAACAGGGGACTACCAAATATCACTGGTTATAGTGGATCTTCCCTCCAAGGTTTAACTTCTGAACTGCGATTGATAAAAATAATAAAAATGGGATTTTTTTCTTGCTATTTATACATTTAATTATTTAATAAGCTTCATAATTGATTTGGGAATGAGGCACTTCAGGGCCCAGATAAGCTGAAAGTCTTACCTGCAGCATCTCAACTGTTGACCCTCCCAACCGATGTTCCAGATCTGAGATGACATCTTTCACCAACTGGCTCTGCGGGATCAGCTCACTTTCAGACTCTGTCAGGCTGTTCATAATAACTTCCTCCTCATTCTTCAGTTTTTGAATCTCCTGCCCCTCCTCAGAGTTCAGGATGTCTCTCAGTTTTCCAAACTCTACCTGGACATTTTCTACCTCACTCTGTATTTTGCTCTTTGGGAATGAGAGAGAGAAAGAGAGAGGGAGAGGGTCATTCAGTCTATCAGGTGGAACTGGGAACAGAAACCACAAAAAGAACTATTTTACCTGGTGAGTTCTCACAGGGTAGTCTTGGAACCAAGGGAGAGATTCTGATCTTTCACTTTCCCTTCCTTCATGACATTCCAAAATAATGAACTTAAGTCAGCATTGTCCAGACTCAACCTGAGCTGCAGTGGGATACCTGGGTGTGCCTCAGCTTTCACACAGCTATCCAGGACACTCATACCTGCTCTTAATTTCACTTCCTCTTCCTCCTCCTCCTCCTCCTTCTTTTTTATTTTAGTTTTTTTTTAAGTATAATAGACTTTATTGAAGTCACTGCCTCTGTACTGAGACAGAAGATTGTGTCTACAAAGCACAAGTTATAACATTTCACAACTTCTAAAAGCAATATCAACAATTACAATGATCATGCAGGCCATGGTTAATAATTACATTTTAGAAGCCTTTTTAAATGTTTAAAAAGAAATGCTTATAACACTCTTATATAGAGAAGCACTTTCAATAAACTACAAAACATTGATCAACATTACCAGTATGAGCCAGAGTGTCAACACAAAGGGGAGGCATAAATGTTTAATTTATCAGAAAGAGATATTTATTATAAAGAAAAATTAAAAAGCTTTCAAATAAAGGCCATTGTTGAACCAACATGAAGAGCACAACTTGAACTTTTGAATTCATTCATCTTTTAAAGCTCTCTTCTGAATAATTTCAATTCTAAGCATGGAATTTACTACTGTGACTATTCTTGGATTGAAGTTTGGCAATAATGCAGTCCAACTGTCTCTTTGCTTCACACTGTGGGTTACTGCTCATGTCATAAAATTCAGGGGCAATTTTCACCAGCCATTCTGGCTTGATATCTGTACATGTCCAGATGTAATTTGTTGTTTTTAGAAGAAACTCATTATAAAGCACCCATTCAGCCTTGTGGTCAAGAACTCTAGAGGGGTGCAACTGAACCAACTAGTTACCTTTCACAGTTAAGTAACGTCCCATTCCTTCTAAATGTGCCACCTGCATAAAATACCCAGTAACCAAAGCTTTTCTTATGTTAATAATCCCTTCTTGTAAAGTCAGTACTTCTGTGAGACAAATTAAATCTGTTCATAATTTGAGATAGCTGCTGGCATACATTGTCTATGGATATCAGGGACTGGTAGTTGATGAAGTTGCCATATCACCACTGAATGGACCCATGATTTTGTTTAAAATCATGACAGACATTCAGCAGAGTCAGATGATCTCCATCTATGTGGGCAAATTTCATCTTGGTCTCATCTGCAGCTTTCTTGGCCTCCATGGGGCGAACAAAACACTGTGGAACTGACAACATATGAGCAGAATGTGTTGAATGAGCTGAGTGGGTTGAATGTGCTGAATGGGAAGCTTTCAAAGGTGGTAGATGGGACCTCGTTAGAACAGTTGTAGTTGCAACTTACAATAATCATTTTAGCAAGCTGTAGATCTAGAGGAAACTCTGCCATCACGGATCCCAATTCAGTCAGATCTGCATCATCATTTAGAGAGAGAATTTTTTTAATATTCATTTATTATTTATTTATTTATGTTTTAGTTTTCGGCAGGCACAACATTTTTGTTTGTATGTGGTGCTGAGGATCGAACCCGCTGCACGCATGCCAGGCGAGCGTGCTACCGCTTGAGCCACATCCCCAGCCCTCTCCATCATCATTTAAAGCACAAAGAAAATGCAAAATTTCTAGGGCTCTCATCAGAGTTTCAGGAGCTGGTGGATCCATAAAATCAAAATGCACCAATTCATCAAAAACAAGTTTCTTCAACTGTAACACCACTGATGCTAAATTAGAATGCACAATCTTAGGATAGGTGTTATCCTGCATTTCTGTTTTATTAGCTTTCTCTGTAAAGCCTGAAGCATTTCCCAGGTCTGGTATGTTCAGTTTGACCAGTTCTTTGTTGAGCTGAAACTGCTATAATAGCTGACACCAAAAGAGTGACATTGATGTCAGTGATATCCTGCAAATGTTAGTTGACACAACCACCTTCTTCCAATTACTCCATTTTATTTTTTGGGAGGTGGAGGGTGCTGCTGCTGAGTGGAAGTGTAGCAAACAGTGTAATGGTTTTAATGTCACCAACTTCAGAACCCATATTATCAACCTCATGCTTTATTCTTTTATAGGCTTCATCAATTTCTTCTTGATTGGTTAAGAAATGTAGAAGACCTCCCTCCTCCTCTTCCCACATATGTATCTGGATCATTGTTTGAATTGCTGCTTCAAGATAATCTCTCTCTGGTTCTGGAGAATTAAAGATCTCAACAGGATGTGCAGCCAAGGAATGCTTAATAGAGGACAGCGATTAAAGTAAATCTGGAATTTTCCTGCATCCAGAGTAGCACTTATAACTATAACCTTTAAATCTGACCTATGTCTTACAACTTGCTTGAAAGCACCCATGAGAACATCTGTAGCCAATGTTCTTTCATGAGCCTCATCAGGGATTATTGCACCATAATGCTCCAGGAGAGGATTGTTCATGGCTTCTTGAAGTAACATCTCATCAGTCATATAATTAATTATAATTTTTGCACTACTGCAGTCTTCAAATCAAATGGAACAACCAACTTCCTGGCCCAACATCACATCCATTTCATCAGCAACTCTTTGAGTCACACTCATTGCAGCCACTCTCCTGGGCTGGGTACAGGCAACTCCTCTGTTGGGTCCTGGTGAAGATTGCACATACTCCACATACCATTGTGGTAGTTGATAAGGATTGAAAGAGGGGTCAAAAAACCTCAAAATTTAGTATAAATAATAGAGCAAATGAACAGGGATTTAGCCAGCCAGAAAAAAAGGATGCACCCAAGCTGGAGAGCCTGATGAGCACCTGACATCCCATCACTTGTCATCATTTCCTGAGCCTCTGTGTGATAATCACGGCTCTCAAACTCTGCCGCCTGTCTGGACCTTGGTGAGAGCCGCAACTTCTCCCAAGACCCTCTCCTTAACCAGTGGTCCACTCCACACCAGGAAAAGCCTGCCTTGGTTCCGGACCTGGTCACCGCAGTCTGAGTGAGTGTGCATCTGCTGGACTTAAAGCCTGAGGCTTAAGACTTTTGAACTTTTGCAGAGGAAATGTCTGTCATGATTAAGTGTGTTTTGCAGTGCTTAGAATTCATCTAGAATTGTTTGCTGTGAATTAATTATGTATATTGCAGTGCCTAGCACTAAGGATTGTTGTTTTATTGATTAAGAACCTATAGAGTGAAATTATATTGATTAAGTTGATTTTGCCCCCTCGCAACACATGTTCTCTGTCTCAATCTCTTTTCCCATGGGTCCCCACAGACTTCTGGTTCGAGTAATCATCCTCTGCAGGTCCAATTGTTGCATCTTGAAGATCTCATTCTTGGAGAAAACAGGAAGGAATTAAAAAGAAAAAAGCTGTGGCTTTATCAGCACAGTGGAGGACAGATATTTAACTCTTGGGGACACCCACCCTCTAGCTACAACCTCCTCATTCCACTCTTGAACTCCCTGCTGAAAGCTGAACACTCAAGACAGAACCATGACCCATTACCAAAAGTCTTCTTTCACTAGAATCAGTGTCTCAAAAAGCACCACAGCAACAGAACATTAGCCAACCTCACTAGAGTGCCTCCCTGTGAATAGCTCTCTCCAAACAGCTGTTCTCCTTTGTGATGTATCCACTCTGCAGCCCCCACCTGACAAGGCAAGGACAAGAAGGATGAATCAAATGCTTTCCAGCGTATGGACTGCCACAGAATAAAGGGGAAGGGTGCTACTTCCCAAGGTCCTACCCAGAATTGTAGCTCATTCCCTTAAAAAAAAATTTCCCCCTACCTTCCAGAAAGTTCTCTCAGTTTGGATGTCAACTTTCCACTTCTCAGCTTCTTCCTTGGCTATCACCAGGTTTTGCAACATTTCCTGAAACTTCTCCTGTGAGAAAAAAATCACAACAGATTCAAGTGAGGAGCTTTCTTAGCACCTAGAGAGAGGATAAACCTGGAAGAAATCAGGTTGATCTCAGAAGAAACTAAAGCTTTTAGAAACTGTGTGAACAGACAATGGTAATCTATAAATTGGAAGAAATTCTGGGGTAGAAGATATCTTCTCTAAATCTCTGGTAATAAAGTTACCAACCCCTCACTAACAGTAATCTAAATATTTTTGCACTAGAAGAGGAACCTGATGTTGCAGCAAGGAAAGAACTCATATACCAACCCTTCTAATTCACTCTTCTGCTGAAAGGGGTCTTCAGAGCTTTTCTTGGACTCTCAATCTCCACCCATCTAGCACAAGGCGCAGTATTTTTATGCTCCCTTGTCCAAGAGTTTCTACTCCAGGCTTAGCAATTAAGTGAAGGCAAAAATTCAACCTTTAGGCCTCAGAAGGTAAGCACAGCATAGCGTAGAAACAAATCACAGGCATCGGTTCAATGACACAATGTAATTAGACTAGAGTGTAAAGAGGAGATATCGTCTCTGTCCTCCCCCCACCTGATCTCTTACCTGGTACTCCTGGACAACCTCCTCCAAGAGGAATGTGGAGTGTCCACGGTGCTCCTGAGAACGCTCACAAAGCCAGCAAATGACCGTCTTGTCCTCCTTACAGAAGAGTAGGAGTTTCTCTCCATGGCGTGCACAGTGATACACCTTCTGCTCCTCCTCTGGGTTCAGCTTGACGCCCCTGAGCCTCTCCACTATGTTGGCCACATGCCGATTAGGCTGCAGGTTCTCAAACTCGTAACTGATTCTGCACACAGGGCAGCTGCTCTCCCCTTTTTGACTCATCATGGACTCATAGTTTGATGTGATGCAGGCCTGGCAGAAGCTGTGGCCACAGTTAAGGCTCAGAGGCTGTGTCAGGAGATCCAGGCAGATGGGGCAGGTCACCTCCTCCTTTACATTCCCTAGGATTGCTGAAGCCATAGCATTTGTTTTCCTGCTCCTGTCTGTCCTGACTTCTGAGATTCCTCCTGCTCAGATTCCTACATGATTGGAAGATTAAAAGTGGGCAGAGTAAGAAAGGTTGAAATAGAATGGATACTGACTATGTAGAAATAATGTAACAGGTATTTCACTTGATGCTTAGACTATATCCCTTATGGCTTTGAAATATCCATTATTTCCCTCCTCTTTTTCCCAATCTTCTTTTCCTGAAACTTCTCCTCTTTGATCTTCTTTTCCCTAACCTTCTTCTTCCTGATTTTATTCCTGTTCTTCTCTGATACTCTTTTTCCTAAACTTCTCCTTCCTGATCTCTCCTTCCTAATCTCATTTTCTGTTGAAGTGGCACCCCCTTTTCTCCACAGAAAAGCCCTCTTCACCATGGCTGATTTTAAGACTGTCAGCAAAAGAGTCTCTGTGAAAGAGTCCATTGTAGATAAACTTCCTATTTTCGTGTCGCCCTGTTTACTTGGCCACTGGCCCAGAAGATACCAGCACTCCAGGTGGTAGACACCCCTTACTAATTTTTCACAAATGTATCCAGTATAGTACTTTGAAGAAATGTGCAAACAAGGCCTCTGGCCTTGAGCTGGGCTTCACAGAGATGTCTACATTTTTAAGATAAGTTACAAATGGGCCCATGGTAACAGCTGGCAGAGGGAGGAAAGAAAGGGGAGAAGAAGCTCTCCCTTTCTCAGGTGTTGTCCCGAACAGTGAAAAAAAAAAGCTGCTTTTATGTGAACGTTTGCAGACTGTGAACTTCTGAGCCCCTCCCCTTACATGATGGGTATAAAACTCTGAAACTCCCTGAACTCAGGGTTCAGGGATTAATTGATTACAGCAAAATCTGTGCCCTCTGAACCTGGCTGCAGCCAAATAAAACTGTTTCCTGCTGTCTTTGGTGCCTTGCCTCGTTTGTCCCTACAACACTGTGAATCACCTCAATAAAAGCTCCCTGTCCTGAGACAGGCAGAGTCATAGCCTTTGATACAGGGATCCCCTGTGCTTCTCCTTTGCTAGCAAAGCAATACTTCTTTTTCCTTTTTCTCAAGACTTTGTCTTGGTTATTTGATTGGGGTCAAGGATGAAGACTGAGTTTTCAGTTATGAATTTGGCAAGCCAGTCAGGAACTGAGAGTAGCCCCTTCTCCAGCTTTCTTGGGCAGGCTCATCTCTCCAAGGAAGCCCACTTCCATGCTGAGGATACTAGTGAGTTTGTTGAGAGATGACTTGCAGAAATTGGGAGCTGGTATGAGTTTGCTGCAGACCAAACCAGAGGAACTGTTCCTGTGAGTAAATGGAAGGCCTGAGGGACCATCCCAGCAGCTGCTGTAGCTTTTTTTGTTTCAGGGAACTCCCACCTTTTCTCCCTGAACTGCAGTTTCTCCATTAGTTTCTCTACTTTGAGAAAAAGGAAACTGAAATGAGGAATGTCAATCTTGGCCATTTGGTAAGCTCCCACAGTGTGCATGCTGACAACCTTGATTCTACACATCTCTTTTCCTTTTGTGGGAACATCTGGTCCCTCTTCATGGGGACATCTGTGGAGCCACTGGTGTAGAAGTCACGATTAAGTGGGAGTTGGGAATTTGGGATTTTTTTTCCTATCTGGTCTATTTTAAAGGTTCCCATCTGTTTGTGATAAGCCATTCTTATAGATCGTGGCCGCCATTAGAAGATGGCGCCGGCTTCCACTGTGGCCTGTGATAAACAACTCCTTTTATGGAGAGTTGGCACGTAATCCCTTATCACCCTATGAGAAAGATCCAAGTGGCGGCTTAAGATTGGTATGCGGGAGGCTTTATTAGGCTATGCTTGGGCGCTCGGCGGGGGGGTCGCTAGAAGATGATACTTGAATCAAGGCCTGAATAAACTGCTGAAAGAAGAATCCTGTGTCGTGTTTTCCCTTGCCGGCGAGGGGTCGCGACATATCTGGTCTATTTTAAATGTTCCCATCTGTTGGCCATGGTTTGGAAACTCCCTCTGGTTGTCTGTTTTGTTTGAATCTTTAACTGCCCCTTTTAGGACCTGGCCAGTGCTGCATTGATTCTATAGGTACTCTCTTGAGAAAGATCTTGGCAGGTCAATACAAAGGTTCCCATCTGTTGGCCATGGTTTTGGGTCTTCTCTCTGATTGTCTCTCCGATTTTGTACAATCTTGAAATTGGAATTGGCTTGTAAGAGGTAAAGTGAATTAAAGAAAGGGTCACCATTAAGTCTGTCTAGGATAATGTTTTACTGTAACAATCTGTCTTTTAAATAGCTTTCTAGATTATTGTACAATCTTGCAGTTACAGTTGGCCTGTGAAAGGTAGAGTAAGTTGAAAAAATTTGCGTATAGAGGTCTGGTCTGTTTTAAAGGTTCCTGTCTGTCAGCCTTGGTTTCAGTGATTCTCTCTCTCTCTCTCTCTCTCTCTCTCTCTGTTACTGGCCCTTTAAGATTTTACTGTAGTCTCTTGAGGAGAGATCTTGGCTGAATGAGCCACCTATAGCGATAAGCCTGTATAAGAAAAAGATAGTTTACTGTAACACAATCTGGCCTTGGAATGGTTTTTCTGGATTATTATACAAACTTGACTAATGTTGAAGTTGGTCTGTCAGGGATAAAGTATACGAAAGTGATTCTATATGTACAGGCATTTATGCAGTTGCATGATAAGGAATCTGAACCATCAGGAACTAAGTTGAAGGTGCCAGAAGGCACTGTCTCTGGTGTGCAAAGATAGCAGGACACCAGAAGAAAGGGTTAAAAATATTTAGATCTTTTTGAAAAGCTGGCACTCCCAGCACTGTTTCTCAGCCTGGCCATAGGCAGACACAGATGGCCTCACGATGGGTCAAGGACACCAGTCTTAAACTGGGAGTGTGTGTGTGGGGAAATCCCAGAAAAGCTACCTAGGCTGTAAAAAAGTGGGCTAAGAGAATTTGGCCTCTGCCAGGCCTTTCAGCTTCTTTTGCTCCTGGGCTGGTGTTGGAGGGTGTGAGCCACAAAGAATGTGGTAGTAGGTTCCAGCACTGTCAGCATATGACCTGGGGATAGGAATAGTCTCCCCTTTTAAAAACTGACAAGAGACCCTATTTGCTCAGGGGATATTCATTCAATTCCTGCTTTAATAGTACACCATCAAACTGAATACCTGGGGAGACTGGCAGAATAAAAAACTGTACCCAGGAAAGAAAAAGACAAAAACTAAGGCCCACCTGTGTTTTGTAGGCAGCCTCTGCAAAGGGATCTTTAAGAAAGTCTGGGGGGCGGATGGAAAAGTCCTCCTCCATCAACAATATGCAGAATAAGAAAAAGGCCCCAAAGAAGCCTCTGGGTACAATTGACAGTGGGGAACTCATTTAAAGTTGATGGCATTGTGATAATGGTAATGGAGATAGAGCAGGCTCAAAAATATTCCTTGCTCCAACCCTTTAAATGCAAGCTGGGAGAAAAAAAGATTGAGGCACAGTTTTTGTACATTCTGGATTGCTCAATCCTCTCCTAGGATGAAATATGTTATGCAAATTAAATGTACAGATAACATTTATAAGGTCTGTTTCAGAATATGAATTTAAGAAAGGGTCCAAAACTAGAAAAGATAAAAGAAAGTTATAGGTATGGAAATATATTTTAGTATGGAAAGTGAAGGTAAAAGAAATGTTTCTGAATGAGAAAGTATTTTGTCTGGTAAAGTAATATTCTTGAGCTAAAGTCCAAGATGAAAGAGGGCAAAACTAAGGATATAAAGAAGTTTTAAATGTTTAAGTAAGTTGCAGAAAGTTTGCAAAAGGAAATCTTAAAAAGTTTGTGTTTGTAACTAATTGGCTATAATTAACACAGTCACTTAAAATTACTTGGATTTTACTGTACTGATATGAAACAAAGTCTGAAATATTGATTTGCTCTTATCTATGAATAATTTTCTTGTATTTATTAGGCTTTATTACTTAGGGAATCTAAGTCTTAAAGGAATTAGGTTTGTACCTGTTTTAAAGTCTTAAATGATTACTTTGTAACTGGTTAAACAAATAACTGTTATTTAGGTCATAACAATATTGTTGACATCCAAAATATACATAAATATATATAGATCTAGAATTATTGGTTGAAGTCTTGGCTAAATGTTATGTAAAAGTTGATAAAATGAAAATTTATGTGAGTTTAATGTCAAGATAACCAACAACTACTCTCTTTTATATATTGTTTCTGACATAGAAGGGCCACACTGTCATTTGATCACCTGTCATATCTGTTTGCTTTGACTAAGCCAATTTCTGCTCATTAACCCTATTTCCTAAATGTATAAGAGATTTAAAGCGATTCTTTGATTTTTGTTAACTCATTCAGACCGTACATTCTGGATTCTAAATTATACTTTAAAAGTTAAACTTAGTTAAATGTAAAGCTTCAGAGAGTACTTTGCCAAGTTGGTGTTCTCCAAACTAAAATTATGTGTTAGAGTCTGTAAACAAGTCAAAATAACACCTGGCATTTTGCCAGGGGAATGTTAGAGTTCGTAAACAAGTCTGGATGGTGCCTGGCTAAATGTCAGAGGGAGTGGTTTGAGAAGTAACAAAAGTAAGCCATTAAGTGTGGAGATTCCTTATTGGTTGACTGATGTATCTAGTTTATGCTAATTAGATAAGCTCTGTGGAATGTATAAATACTGCTCCTGTCTTGCAATAAACGGCTCCTACTCCTGCTGTATCAATGCACACAAGTTATTCGTCACCCCCCTGATTATTCTGCTGCAGCCGGACTGCGGCAGATGGTGGCCCGTACGGGGAGCCCCGGGACACTCGGGGGTAAGTGACGAAAAAAAGCTGCCCGTCCATAGATAGGACGGGAGCAATCTGCTCGTCCCTAGGCAGATAGGGCGAGAGGAAAAATGGCCATTTTAAGAAAATGGAGAAGATTGATACAGTATGTTTGTGTCTTGTTTTGTCTAAGTATATTGTATTGTCTTTGTGATGAAAATATGGAAGGGGTGAGAAGTA